CCCCCCCCTCCGCCGTTCCCCTACTCCTACGTCTGGCTCTATTCGCAGCAGCAAATCACATGCATTTTATCAACAATTCATCTGCCGATTTCAATATCTTCCTCGCGGGCTGTTCGAACAGGCTGTATTCCCTATAGCTTGGTTGCGTCCGTTGCCATCCAGTGGAAGAGAGGAGACGTCGGCGCGTTCGTTGAACCCCTGGATCGCAACGCCTTCTCCCAATCCCTTCCACAAACCCCGAGACACCGTGGCGCGCCGGCCAGGCTCTCTAGGTGGTTTGGGCCCCCAAATCATCTTACCAAGCAGACGCAAGTCGATGGCCTCATTGGAATGCAGCAGTTCGGAGGCCAGAAGACTGCAGACTCGACGTCGTATCCGCCGCTTCGGCGCGCAGCTCGCAAACACAAGCGCCGCTGTCGCCCCTTCGAGTCCGCAAGACTCTGGCTACGGATCACTCGATGATGATCGCAGCCTACAGTGGGTGGTGAGCCGTCGTAGACGCCTTCTTTCCATCGATGGACTTTCCGTCGACGGCCCTGCATCTTAGGACGAGTCAGAGTTGGCTTCTGAGGCCGCACGATATCAGAACTACCGAAATGCCCACCAGAAGCGCGCCATCCAGCGCCTCTCTGCGCGCAGTGGCCATATAGCTTGCTCTGACAGTGAGAAGAAGAAGGCCAGCGACGGCTGTAAGACTCCGTTTGGACCGCGACACTGTGAAAGTCCCCGCGCGCTCGACAGATTTGTCCCTCCTCGAGAGGTCACGGTCTCTACCGCGGAGCGGTATCGCACATCAAAACCGCCGCGTGCGCTCTCGCATCTCGAAAGGCTCGCAAGGCATGGGCCTGCAATAAACTATCCCTCCTCGCCGCGGGTACCTAGGTCTTCCCGCGCTCGTCCGCCTGTAGAGTCGCCAAGTACGCATCCTGCTGCCAGGCGGTTGGCAACTGGACCAGGTATGGTGCTTCTCCCATGCAATGCAAGCCGTGAAAAAGGTTGTTTTTTGACGGAAAGCCTACAGCTTTCGGGGCCATCAGTCTCCCCGTTCAGCGACTTCATCCGCATCCAGGTCATCAAACTAGCCAAGCTAATACATCGACGGGTGGCAACTTGGCCTTCAGCGCTTCGGCAACAGATGATGGCCGGGGCCACCTGACCCGCCGCGGGACCAATGCCCCATTCTTCACGATGTCATGCCTGGTAGGAAAACCAGGCGCACGGGATGTTTTGGAGCGCTACCAAAGCTGCGTTGCGTTGGCCCTCGACATTGACACAATTCAGAAAATCTTGGGCTTCCACTTGCACCTTCCAGCACCTTCGATACCGCCTGCGCTCTATCCGATCGGGGAGATCCTGTCTCAAACGAACTCGCGGACAAATCCGCCGTTACCAGATTCTCCTAGCACCCGCCGTACGCCATCTCCCTCGTCGAAGGACGTTCTGCTCACTAACCGAACGACAGACGTTGACAATACGTCCTCGAAAAGATCGATCCCGGTGGCGCCCTTCAAGTATTCCGCCTTACCTCTTTCTGCGCTACGGTTTTCCAATCCATGACTGACCACAGTTCAGGGTTCTAGATGCCCCGAACTTGCGCGACGATTACTATTGCTCCACCCTCGCTTACTCAAACACCTGTCGAACGCTTGCGGTCGGCCTTGGAAACCTCTTGTATACATGGTCTGAGGGATGTGGTGTTCGTACCGTGACTGGGACTCAGTTGGATCATGTCTGGTTGACTTCTGTTGGGTTCTCATCCCAGCCTGGGAACAAGAACATCCTGGCAGCCGGACGATCCGACGGATCTCTTGTCCTGAAGTCTGTTTATGACGGGCTGCCCCGCTTCGAAGTCCAGCAACCACACGCGGTGACTTGCTTGAGCTGGCGGCCTGTCGCCACGATCCGGCCATCACGGAATCCACTCAACCCCGATGTTGCAGTACAGACCGAAGACCTCATCGTTGGCGACGAGACCGGCACCCTGTACCACTACGTCATCGAATGGCCGATGACCTGGGAGGTCTCACGAGATACCTGGCCAGGTTCTATGTCGCTGGTGACCAAGGTCTCCCTCCACAGCCAGCAGGTATGCGGACTCGCCTGGTCTCTTGATGGTAGGATGCTGGCCTCTGGGGGAAACGACAACCAGTGTTATCTACTGGACGCGAGTGAACTATTCGGTCAGACCAGAACAGACCGTAGCGGCGTTCAGGGTTGTCGAAGTCGAACACTGAGGCCCACAGGCGTCTCTCGAGGCACTGGCGGCCAGGGCCAGCAGCCGGAACTTGTTTCTTTTACGAGAGACGCGAGATCAACAACTCTCGATACGGGAGCATTGGCCGTGCGAACATCAGCCAACAGCATACGGACCTTCGGGCGCGGATGTGAGAGGCAGCTTTGGATGCACAGAGCGGCAGTAAAGGCCATTGCCTTTTGTCCTTGGCGCGAGGGACTGGTCGCCACTGGGGGCGGCTCCAATGATAAATGTATTCACTTCTTCCACACATCATCCGGCTCCGCGCTTGCGACCATTTCTGTCGCTGCCCAGGTCACTTCACTGATTTGGTCAACAACGCGGCGCGAAATTGTCGCCACGTTTGGTTATGCTCAACCAGAGCATCCATATCGCGTCGCCGTGTTTAGCTGGCCGGACTGTCGACAGATTGCCGCAATCCCTTGGGATGGCGAGCTGCGAGCGCTATATGCGGTTCCGTATACGTGGCCGAAGAAGTCGCCGCCGAGGGCAGGCGGCTCAGGGACAGGATCCGAGGGATGCATCGTCGTTGCGTCGAGCGATAAAACCGTCAAATTCCATGAGGTGTGGCCGGCAGAGTCAAGGACAGCGGTGGCCGTGCCGGGCGTCTTGGGCGGCAGCGACATTCTCGAGGATCTCGATGGTATGACCAAGGACGGTGATGTGATTCGTTGATGATGGACCGCGCGATGCGGTACGGAGACGACGTCCCTTGGTGAGCCTCGCAGCACAGGTCAAGCCAGCACGACATGATGGTTGCAAAGGAAGTCACAACAGGCACCCTTTCGGCGCCTGATCGTGTTCGTTTCTATAGTAAGGAAAGAGCCACCCGAAGAGCAAAAAGCGAAAAAAAATTCCCTGGTGGCGCTGGTTTACTGAAGCTGTCTGACACTGTTGAGACTCCGGAGGCACTAGAGCAGTCGGGGGATGGGTCGGCTCTGTCGTACCGGCATGCACGCCGAATGCCAAGTAATCGTATTATTTCAAAATCGCAATCAAGAGGACAAGAATGATAATGAGGACGATGATGGCGGTCATCTGCTTATTCTCGCCGGCGCCCTTGGCCACCTTGCCCAGGGTCCTCTTGGCCCGGTCGAGCCGGCTTTGATGGCGGTCTGTGACTGCCTCGACCTCGTCCAGCATGGCAACATGGCTGTCTAGTTCGTCGCCAATCTGCATGCTCAGCTCGCGCTGGCGGCCAATAGATTCACCTAGTCGGTCGAGCTGCTCATCCTGTTGCTCTAGGATCTGCGAATGGTACTGGTGCAGCTGCTGGTTGGACATTTCCTCGGCTTGATCGCGGTAGCCAGCCGTGTCGTTTATTGCCGGGTCATCCCGATACGGACCAAACAAGTCGCTTGAAGGGTCCGACGGCGTATCACTGAAGCGCACCGATTTGGATTTCCGGGAGCCCGGCCCGGACGCTGATGTTGACGCCGCGTGGGCGAAGTCCTCGGCCAGCTCGTCCGAGTTGGCTTGGGTCAACGTCGCCTCCGTAGATGGTGACGAGAAGCCGTGGAACTGGGCCGTCAGGTCTTCAAACTGTTTCTGGAGCTCGGGCAGGGCATCGGTGATGGACTTCGCGGCACTGAGATGCCGGGGCGGCGACAGGGTCAGCCGTTCGGCTCGTGAGGGAGCGAGGCTCCGGGCAGGGAGGAGCCGACGAAGGAGGTTCTTACTTCTCGTCACCGGTCTGTTCTAAACGCGACTTCTCCTGCTGGAGGGATGTGAGCCCGGCGCGAAATTGCTCGAGCGACCGCGACAGGTGGCCATCCTGAGTGTCACTGTCGAGATTGAGACTCTTGGCGCGCTGGCGTTCCAGCAACGAGAGCTTGATGTGATCTGCGAGGAGATAGAGCTGGCTGGGTTTGGACATGACGGGCCGCGTGTGTGTCTATTGTCGTCGTCGTCGTCGTCGTCGTCGTGGCTGTCACCGTCTTCGTGGTTCGTTGCCGTGGCCGGAGTCGTCGTCACCGTCGATCCCCGCCCGAAACTGCTCCAGAACCAGCGAGCGCGGTTGCCGCGGCAGGTGCGTGGTCAAAGGCGCGGGATGCGGCGGCGGACAGAGCGGGAAGAATGTACGCGGTGCAATGAACGGGATTATCTCGGCGCTGGGTTGGGACAATCGGTTGTCAGGAGGATGCATCGACGGATTGGAGTGTGGCGGTTACATCAGGTGAGCCCAGTCGCTGGTCGCTGGCCGCTGGGGGTGGTGATGCGACTGTACCAGTGCTCGGAGCGACGTTGGAATGCCCGCGCTGGGGGTCAGTACCTGCGATAGTGGGGTACTCCGCTTGGAGGTACTAGAAGTTCAAGCAACCAAGGTTCCTTGGGACAATATTGATAGGTAGGGCATCATAAAGGTACCCAGTACCTTGCGTTCCCCATAGTCAATAATATTTTTCACCTCTCTGTCCCAAACTAGTGTCGCCGGGCCCTGAAAACACTGAAGTTCTCCCCGTGAAGTACCTTGCGTATAAGATGCACCTAAGGTCGTGTACTCGATAGTGAACCCTGCAGTCCCCACCATACCTACTTAGTACCTATGAGTAAGACTCTTGACCAAGACTCATCTAGGTACTAGATAGGTACATAATAGCATGCTACCTACCTTAGGTATCGATCAGTATGTATATACTTATGCATATCGGTACCTGCCTTGGTACAGAGGACTTCAGTACGTACGAATGTTTCTTGATAACCTACTAGGTGTGAGCCAGGCATCGACTGAGGCTCTGGGAAGCACGTGTTGTCGCAAATCAGTCTGAACTTTCCCTATTTTCCCTGGCTCGAAGGAGGCACATTTATAATGCTCTTGAGTGATATGTGTTGCATTGCGTGCCAACCAAGGTACGACAAGGTGGATCGACCAGCGAAGTGGGAGGGAGGGCAATCTACCTGTACCTAACTTGCTAGGTACCTTAAGTAGGACTGCGCAGCTCCAGCCTTCGAAGGCACCAAATGCTTTGGCTTTGTGACCTTTCGTGCTGCAAGCAGTCTGAGACAAAGATACGAGTTACAAGATGCACTAAGCGTTGGTTCTCAACATGTTGTGCTTATCCGAGCTTGACAGACGATGCTGTTAATATTATAAACCTAAAACCACGTGTGCAAACGCCCGAGTACCAGTCCCGAAAGGGATTCGATAATATACAGTACTTCCGCTTCACCTTCTTTTTTGTTCGCAAGTTTTCCGACATTCGCGTGCAGTCCATCGTGGGCAGGTGGAGCCTCATCAGGGCAGCCACGTTGGGAGGTGGACACCTAGTCTATCCTCATCTCGGTGTCAGTTGAGTGTGCGCTGGCTAGGCCACTGTGCGCCCCCATCTCGATTTCAGCGCCTTCAAAGACAGGCGGCGACTGTTGCAGGTTGCGAAGAGCACCAGTCACGGTCTTGCTGACCAAGCGCCCGCGCCGCAGGTCCTCGGCAAAGAGGAAATAGCCCTCCGATGACTCGACTAGATATGACTGCAGACCCTTGCTCTCGAGGCAAATGCGGACGTCGCGGAGCGCAAAGTGATTCTCGATGAAGCGCGCCCAGCCTCGCGCTGCTGCTTGGATATGCTCGTCGTCAATGATTCTCCTCCAGCCGATGCCGAGTTGCATGGTGCACTCATCAATGATGGGCCCGCCAGCAGTGCTTGCGGCCGTGGTCGCGGTGTCGCCATTGGACAGTGGTACGCCTGCCGGCTCTCCAAGAGCATCTGGTCGCCCGCCGACCTCGACGCTGGCATCGATGCGCTGGGACTTGTGGCTGCGGAGAATTGGTCGCTGTTCCACCTCTCGGCGCTGCCGCTCTCGCTCGTCGTTGGCCTTTTGTTCTTCCAGCCATGTCCCAGACTGACTGCTTGCGTCTGCAACATAGCCGACATTCGGCTTGATGAGCACCATGCCCTCTCCGTACACCCACTCTTCTTGTCGTTCTGGAGGGGTGGGGTTCGGCGCGTCTGGTTCGAGATTGGTTGCGGCTTCGTCACGGGATCGCTTCCTGCCGGCGGTGCGGCCCGAGGCCTGTGGCAAAGGCTGATCGGATGGCGTGGTGCTGAATGGCGCAACTGTCGTGTGCTGAGGCGAGAAGCCTGCGGTCGGCAGCGAGTGCTGATGAGAGACTTGCGGTTGCATGGCGAGGACTGGCGAAGCGGTGGAGAACTGGCGACTGAAGGATGCCATGTCGTCTGCCGTTCTTGGAGTGGGTGGGATATCACGTAAGATGCGAGAAGCGACAAGAGCTGCAGTGATGTGAAGCAACAAGAAAAAAGCAAGATCAGTACTAATGTTAGTGCGACCACAAACCGGAAGGTCAAGTTGGTAATCGTCAATGGAGCTGGCTGTGACGGTGAAGGGTGCTTGGGTGGGAAAGTGAGGCTGCAGGCGGATCGGCGACGGTTGGACGGCTACAGGAGTTGGGAGGAACGAGGAGGAGGCTGCTGGGGGGTTGAACACAATGCGAGAATGTCGGTGCTGGTTATGTGCGCGGTCGGTAAGACGAGTGGGACGTGCGTGGTGCTCGCAGGGTGAGATGGCAAAAATGAGTTCGCGAGGGGTCAGGGGAAGAGAGATCTGGACAAAGGGTGGTGCGACGAACAAGATTGACGAGATGCAACAGAGGGCGAACCGGCGAGTTAAATCGTTTGGCACGAGCGGGGAGTGCAGATGGGAAGTCGCAGATGCAGCCGCAATGCGCAGCATGATGCGGCCCGTTAGTGCAGCCGGTTGCGCTGTGCGACCGGCCGCGTGTGCAGGGGTATGCGAAGGGGCAGGGATACTGGCTTTCTACTTCCAGCCGCGAATACATTTGCCGTAGGGTTTGGTAGCCTCCAGTACCTGTCGTGGAAGAAGCTCTGCTGCCCCACCTGGCGAGCAAAGCCAGGGCTTAACAGTGGGCCAACGCTGGCAGCTCGATGAGGTGGGGCGCCCGGCTGGTGATGCGAGAGTTGCCGCAGAGTATCGGGTACTTTTCTACTCCGCCGGACACCGAAGAAACTGCAGGTACCTACCAGGGCAGCAGTACGAGGAAAGCCATGCTTGCCGCGCCTCCAGTCCGAAATTGTTCTGGCGGATCCCGGGGGTGGGGCGTCAGGGCAGATGGCTCCACGTCATTGGGCGCCTTGCCAGCCGGGCTGAAGACCCCGATTCCCCGAGTGCCACCAAGCAACCTCGTGGGCAGGCCCGGGGCTTTGAGCATCGACAGCCTTGGAAGTTGCTGTCCGTTAACTAGGTGTCCGTCCGCATGGCCATGCCTGTACGTGTAAAACCTCACCATGCTGCGGCGCCAGGTCGCTTTTGATCTACAAGCATAAACGCCCAGTGACCACCATAGTTCGCACTCGGTCCCGTTTCCCTCCCACTTCCGCCCACGACCCTGGACACTCCCAGGACCACAAAGCCGCATCGCAGCATGGACCATGGATTACAAATTCCACACACCAGCGTACACATAAGAGCTGCTATTTTAACTAATATTCCTACGACGAGTTCGGAGTGCTTTGAGTTACAAGACCCACGTGCCCACTCACCTCGTCCCCGGGCTCCGCAGGCGTTGCAGTATCTCCTCGTCCAAGTTCTCAACCCCCCCGTACAAGCCCTGGAAGCCAGGTGTTCTCATACCGGGCGACGACACTGGCCGTTCACCGCCAACAGGTGACAGTTGGCCCCCCACGGCTTGGGCCTGCGTCGCATCCGACAGTGGTGAACCGATTCGCAATCCTGCCAGTCGGCTTGTCTGCACCAGCACTGTCGCGTCGACCCTGCTTCGATGGCGTGACTCCGGCAGAGACGACGCGCTCCGTGGCTGCCACGTATGCGTCACGGAGTCATCATAGATGGAAAGTCTAGGCGTCAGGCTCGTCTCCAAATGACTCCAAGCCGTTGAATCCGCATGGCCCTCCTCCCTATCGAGGCCGTTCACCGCATCGCCATGTCCTCGGCTGCCGAGAGACCGGACACGGGATAAGAGCCGGCCAACTGTTGACTATATAGACCGCCCCGGGTAAGCACAGCTCTGTCTGTACGACAATCACACTGCGTCAAGAGTACGTACGCGCATGAGCCGCGAGGACCTGGAGCGAGGTGATTCTGTGCCATCGCCCAGTGCTTGCTCCGGCGTCCGGGGCGAGTCTACTTCGCGAGAGTCCGTCAGCGAACTTCGGCTCTGGCCGTCAGTACCCTGGCTCAGACGGTTGAATGTGTCCTCCGATACAGGCGCATCGTCGACAAGAAGCTTCGCCCGTGCGTCGCGTTGTGCCTTAGGCGACGTCGACGATTTCGAGGGCTCGATAGTATCCGTCATAGTGTCTGCGCTGTGCAGGCTCCTGAACTGATCCTCGAGTTCTGCCGTGACCGGCGACGCACCATCGGCGCGACCAAGACCAGAAGTTAGCTGGACGGCTGTCGCCGTAGACTCAGCCATAGCCACGCGCAGTGGCTTTGCTTGGGGTCCAGATGGGCCAGGGCAACGGCGGTCGAGCGAGGCAGAGTTGTCATCGGTGGCCGACACGCCATCGACCGCTGGAAGAAGTGAGCCGCGACTCCGCAAGTGCTTCCTGTACCGGCAGCGGAGCTCAAACTCCCTAAGCTCAGTGGAGGTCAATGATATAGCTGTCGAACGTAGTCGAAGCATGGCGATGGCGTCTGGGTAAGCGTTGCAATGTTTGTCCGGCCAACGCATCTCGACACATTTCTACGGCACTAGCCCAGACGAGAAGCTTCAGACAGAAGTACGGGTTGCTCCTGCGCTGCCGAAGCCAGCCATGCAGGAAGTACCGTTGGAGGCGGCGCTGCATCCACTCAAGACACTCACGAGCAGGTGTTCTGGAATAAGCCTATTGTCAAGACCATGACACACAGAAGGTAATGGCCCGAGAAGCGTGGATCCTCGTACTATACCCATGCCCGAGAAGCGTTCGACTTGAGTTAGACGTAGAGGTAAGCACCGGGCGGGGGCGTGACCCGTCTACTCCTGGCCTTGTCTGGGAATACGACGGGGTTCGAGTAAGCTGAGGACCAGGCACTAGGCGTCTACTATTAATTTTAGGAAGAGAGTCGACCATATATGCGGGCTCCCCATAGGTCCAAACTTCGAAGCTTCCTTTCTTGATGGGAGCTTTACAAAATGGGCGGCCCCTGAATCGAACTTTACTCTGTGCCGTGCCACATGTGCCAGAGTTCCTGGCAATACCCGCCTTGCCAAGGTGGAGGAGGTACCTGCCGAGTTGCGGACAGCCCTGCAAGGTGTCTGAGGGGTGTAGGCTCGACGCGATCAAATCGCATTGACACCTTGGCCAAGGTCGTCTACCGGACTGCCGGATTCCCCGGAGTGCGCGCAAGTGCGTGAACCAAAGTAATTTGGCATGTCGATGCCTGATCGAAGTGTGTCAAATACTGATATTCTGGTGGCACTTGTACCTAATGTAGCCAAGGTACCACTAGGTACCTTAAGTACCTACTTAGGTATCCAGGAACTTTGCCTACTACTAAGGTCGCTTCTAAGAAGGTGAGCTCCCGGGATATCACACTGAGCTTGCCTACTACCTAGAAGATAGGTACTAGGTACTGAGTCGGTACCTTGGCACGAAGGCAAAGAGCCGACAGCCTGTCAGGGGCTTTGCTGGCGCTGAGGTACCAGATAGATCAGTACCTGGTAGCCATTGATACTAAGGAAGGTACTAAGGTACTGGAGCTGCCTGGCTCAGATGTTCGCACAGCAAGTGGGTGACTGCTGTCTGGGCTGATGAGGCCTGTCGTGCAGTGTACCTAGTGACACGGCCGCGACTTGGACACGACACGATTTCGCATGCACACTTGCTTCTGTCCGAAATCCGGAGCAGCTTTATTCGTACTTGGAGAACTTTGGCGATGCTCCGCGCGCAGCTTCGTCATTGCCAAAACCCATTGATGACTGGGTCGAGATGCGAACAACTTGGAACCCCGGCAGCGAGGAACAGAAGTCGGCGTGCGGGCATGAGGCACTCTGACGTACCGTACCTTAGGTACTTATGTACGAAGAGACTTTTTTAGGTAGTCCTGGAGGTACCGGTACCGCTGGGCCAGGCTGGCCCAGGGTGGATTCCACAGTCACTGACTGGCCCACCCCCTTCCCAATCAGTCGCTCCCTCGTTGCGGCGCGCCACCCCCGTCTTCCCGCACGTCTCCTCGTCTCCCACCCAGGACGTCGTGTCGCCCAGGAAGTCGTGTCGCCGCCGCCGTCGTCGTCGGCCGGTCGACGTCTCGCTGCATCATAACGTCGGGCCATTTCTGACAGCACGATCCCTAGAAGCCCGGGGACGGCCGCCATCGCGGCCCCTGGAGCACACCACCATGAATGGGGACCTGAGTCTCTCCCAAGCCCTTGGGGGCTTGCGAATCGCGAACCCCGACGACGCTGCCGAAGCATCCATCTCGCCGCCTCCAGCCGATGCGGACCCTCACACAATCCCCCAACCCGGCGTTGACCACGGCTCGAGCTCTTCCGCTACGCATACCCATCCTGATGCCCCCGATTCCCGCCGCCCCAGATCATCCTTCTACGACAACCTCGCCGCTACGACAGACCTCCCGGTCACAGCCCGTCCCAACCGAGAACACAGCCAGCGAGGCGCTCAGCGTCCATCTCAGCTTGCCCACCACGCAATTGGCGCCCCCGACGAACGAGCTTCCTCCGTTCCTTTGCGCCTGAGCTCCAGGGGTGTCGTGTCCGCTGGCGGCGCAATGGGAGGCTCCTCCGGAACCTATAGCGCGGCGTCCAACAGCGTCGATGTCGCTCCGTTCGCTGGAGACTCCTCGGTCCCTGCGACCACTGAAGAGTGGAAGGATCGCGGAGCCGCCGTCGGCGTACGCCGCGAGCTGGACTCCAACGGGAGACCCGTAGCCCGCCAAGTTAAAAAGGGTGTCAGGGACTTTTCCTTTGGCCGCGTCCTGGGCGAAGGCTCGTACAGCACCGTGTATCTGGCGACTGATCGCCAGACCCTCAAGGAATACGCCATTAAAGTGCTGGAGAAGAGACACATCATCAAGGAGAAGAAGATCAAGTATGTGAACATTGAGAAGAACACGCTGAACCGCCTCACCGAGCATCCCGGTATTGTCCGCCTCTACTACACTTTCCAGGACGAGACCTCTCTATATTACGTCTTGGACCTCTGCAACGGCGGTGAGCTGCTCGGCGTCCTCAAGAAAACTGGCACCTTCGATGTGGATTGCGTGAGATTCTATGGCGCTCAGATTCTCGATGCGATCGACTACATGCACTCGCGCGGTGTCATCCATCGGGATCTGAAGCCCGAGAATGTGCTTTTGGACAGCCAGATGCACGTCAAGATAACCGACTTTGGCACGGCCAAGCTTCTTCGAGACCCGCGGGATCCAAGAGACGGAGCCAGTAACGACCGCGGCCTCCCTGACACTGAGAGGAGGGATGGCGAAGACGACGCCCGGGCAGCCTCGTTCGTGGGAACGGCAGAGTACGTCAGCCCAGAGCTGCTTACGCACAAGAATGCGTGCAAGGCCAGCGACCTGTGGGCGTTTGGGTGCATCATCTACCAACTTTTGGCCGGACGGCCGCCCTTCAAAGCGGGCAGCGAATACTTGACGTTCCAGAAGATTGTCAACCTTGAATATGAATTTCCACCTGGATTCCCCCCTTCAGCCCGGGATCTTGTCGAGCGGTGCCTAGTTCTCGACCCGGCGAGGAGGCTCACAATTGAACATATCAAGAACCACGAGTTCTTCACGGGTCAGCAGTTTGGCAAGAGCCTGTGGCGAGCGAAAGCTCCAAGGTTGCGGCCATACGTCCCACCTGCGCAGGAGCCCAACATCATTCAACTCAATGGCTATTCCTCAGGATCCGCACCTGCTCCCGGTAACACGCCGACCTCTCGCCCACAGCTGCACACCCAAGGGAACACCCCCAGCGGTGCTCAGCGGCCTTCCCGCATCATTACAGAACTCCCGCCGCCGACTCAGCTCGACATAGAGTGGTCACCGGTTTTGACCAAGAACAATGAACGGATTCTCAAACTTGGCGACCTGATGGTGATACAGACGCCACTATCACACGGCAGCCACGGCAAAGGCTCGGAGGAGGGCCACAAAAAACTGTCGCGTTTCTTCGGGGGTAGCACCACGAAGAAGAGACAACGTCTGGTGATGATCACATCGAGTGGGCGGATTGTGCTTGCTCCTGCAGGGGGCGAAGAGAAGCGGACAAAGCACGAGCTCTCTCTCCTCTCTGCGGACTGCACCTGGAGAAGTCAACAGGATGCCAAGGGGCAGCTGGTATGGTGTGTAGATACGGTAAGTTCTTGCAATCCCCTAGCATGGCGTGCGTGCCTTGCCCCGCTCATCACCTTGAACAGAATGGCCAGCATTACACGTTCGAGGAAACCAAAGCATCGGTGAATGCGGAAGGGGGAGGCAGCACGGCGGAGGACTGGATTGAGTGCCTCGAGAGAGCAAGGGACCTGGCCATGTCCCAAAACGCAACAGCACACGGCGACGACAACCCTTTTTCAGAATTGCCCACCACGGCGTCAAGCCCGGCCAGCACCCTTGGTAGCAGGGCCAATCTGGCTGATGGCTACGGGCCAAGTGAGCGAAATACGAGAGGCCACCTCAGAAAGAACCACGGCGGTCACGACGATGTCGGCGCCAAGCGGAACCGCTTTAGCAAAAGGCAGTCCCGAAACGGGTTGGGGTCAGCATTCTAGATTATCTGCTCGTACAAGTAATGGTGGTCTTGTCGGAGAGCCTCTTCGCTTTTTTCGCGCCCGCTGTTTTCGAGTCGCATTTTGTCGTGGTTACTGGGCTCTCGGAGCAGTAGACTCGGTACGTTTTGCATGGAAATGGGCAGCGAGGCGTACTGACAGGGAGTCTCTTTTGTATTACTGGGCTAGTGGATTGATCTCGTGTCCGGCCGCTGTGTGCAATCTCTGGGCATCGCGAAGCAGTCGGCCGACCCAAGAGGACCAGGCAGCATTTTTTAGACCTTTTTTTGTTGGAATCTAGCGGGTCTGATAAAGTAGGTATGTCGATTGGTTGTGGTCTCAATCTGGGTCACTGGCTGGATAGTAGGTAGGCTCTGACCTAGGTACGTGGGCACATGACGCAGAGCGAGTTAGGTACTCCTCTGTTTGGCCAGACGACAGCATTCACGGAACCCGTCTCAAGGAAGCGGGTGCAGATGGAGAGTGTCGATTGCTTGCGTGCTTGACGCCACGGAACGGCTCTCGCAGGCTTCAACACGAGGGCGGCCAAGCCTCATTCAACCATGGGCAGATGGACAGCCATGTCTAGGCTACAAGTCGACAAACCATTTACATAGTACGCGGGATAGATACCTATCACTGTACCTATAATAGGAGCCTGGGTAGGGAGGTACTTAATATGCATTGTATGGTACGGATTGATCGACTCGTGGGCAGCCCAAGGCAGTGGATATCATGTATTATGTACTGAAGACTGAAATGATTTACGCAAGGTACCACGCATCGGAGGGCCGGGCAGCCCGCCCGCGTCTGGTACGAAACATGTTACTAAGGTACTTCGCACGCACCAAAGGTTAGGAATTGCGTGGTAGTAGCTGCGTCATCACGTGACCATCCGAAGTGCCGCGATTTTGCAGCGCCCGCTTCGGCCCCTGCGCCCGGGAAGTACCTCCGACAAGAAACACGCTCGCGACCGTTCCAACGTGATCCGCTCACCAGTGGGCTTCGACACGCTACCAACCAACCCCCTTCTCCGGGTTCCTACAACGCGAAATCCTTTACAATGCAACCTCAGTATCGCAACTTCGCGCAGCAGCAGGTGCCGCAGCGATCTCCGCATGCGCAAAATCAACGGCGCGGTGGTATAGGTAGGCCCAGATCCCCATCCCTCTGACGCGACGAACCTGGTGAAGCGAAACGAGCAGGCAACCCATGCTGACGCTGACCTTGTCGCAGGACCCATGATGTCCTCAGGCCCCCATCCTTCAGCCCCATTGTCCCAGGCACAGATGGCGCAGCAACAACAGGCGCAGGCGCACGCAAACGAGCTGGCGAAGCGCCGCAGCCGCAAGCCTACAGACAAGAACATGCCTGATGGGGTCGAGGACAGCATTGTGGATCCCGAGAGCGTCCAACGATACAAGGACCTTCGGGAGTTGGAGCGGTTGCTGGATGCGACGACGACGCGGAAGCGCCTAGACATTTCTGAGAGCGTGAACCGCAGCCACGGCAAGGTGCGCGCGCTTGCCTCCTTTCACTTGTCGTGCTCCCTGTTCATGTCTCGGGCTGCGCTAACACTCGGGGCTATTGCTGGGGCTCAGCTAAAGAAGACATTAAGAATATGGATCACCAACAGCGTCGAAGACCAGGTCTGGCAAGGCAATGGCCTCAACGTCGACGCGTTCGATTTTACTCCGAACATGGAGGCCTCCTACAGGGTCAAGGTTGAGGGCCGTCTGCTTCATGACAATGACGAAAACGAGGAGGGACGTGCTGCACAGGAATCGGACTCGACAGCCCAGGGCAGCACTGTTCAAATGGACCATGATTCGGACACGAAGAAACTGGACGGAGCGACCGCCAAAGAGGCCAAGCACCGATTTTCGCACTTCTTCAAGGCGATCACCGTCGACTTTGACCGCTCGAGGTTTCGAAACGGCGCCGAACAGACAGTCGAATGGAAGAAGCCGGAGAGCGGCCCGAAGTCACAAGCCGCCGGCGCTTCATCCGCCGTTACGGACTTCGATGAGCTCACTTTCAAGCGAAACGGGGATGAGAATACAAACATCACAATCAACCTCTTCCGGCAGGAATTCCCGGAGCGATTCCTGCTTAGTCCGGAGTTGGCAGAAGTAGTTGACATGTCTGAGGCAACGCAGCAGGAAGCAGTCATGGCCCTGTGGGAGTATATCAGGTTTTGGGGCCTCCAGGAAGATGAAGAGAAGCGCAACTTTCGCTGTGATGAGCCCTTGAAGAAGGTCAGTGGCTCTCCGGGCGAGCTTTCGGGAGACGTTTTCCCGTTACACCCCCAATGTGCTAAGCGCGCAATAGGTCGTCGGCCGAGGAGATGTCGGGTATATTCCCATGCTCAACGAATACGTCACCCAACACGTCCGACCGCTACCCCCCATCAGCCTGCCTTACACGATCAGGGTAGACGAGGACTTTCATCGAGATCCGCAGCCGACTGTTTACGACGTCCAAGTTCTTGTAGACGACCCGCTGCGAACCGAGCTCCAGCCGTTGATAAACAACGCGAAATACGCCTCCATGCTGAAAGATGTCAGCACTCTAGACGAGCAGCTAGCGAAGCTCATCCAGAACATCTCCGAGTCCAAGGCCAAGCACTCGTTCTTCACGTCCCTGAGTGACGACCCCGCGTCCTTCGTCAGGAATTGGCTCAGCTCCCAGAATCGCGACTTGGAGATCATCATGGGCGAGGCATCCCGAGTCGCAGGCGAAGGTGCTCAAGGAGACGAGTGGCGAAGGGGCGGTCCGGAGAGTGTGTGGGCGACCCCAAATGCGCGAGAGAGCGTCAATGTCTTGTTGGCGCGACAGCGCTAAGCCATGTCATGGTGTAGGCGGTTCATTCACGTCGGTCGGGCTTGACAAATCTTGTGGAAGCGTCGAGAAGGATAATGTCGAGGAGTTTCCCACGGATTGGCGCATTGGAATAGGATGGGGCGTTATTACTCGTAGAGCTGCACAGGGCACTTGATCCAGCCTATTAAGATGGCACCAGGGTATATTGAGGCACATGATGAATTTATACTGCAACTGGACCCAACGCTTCCATCTCGACCAGCGACTGATGCGATCCAGCCACCTTGGAGCATACGAGTGCTCTGGCACGGCATGGTGTCTACGAGCTCGTAGAAGCAACAGGCAGTACGGAAAATGCTATATCCGGCGATTCGGAGGAATACTTGTTCGCTGTCGGGAGGCTGTTAACGAACGGTCGGCGCGGCGCGACGGGAGTCTCGTAGACTTGCCGCAGCTCGCGATCGCTCAAGTAGACACTGAAGACGTAACCCTATGAGTTATCGCTGCGGCGGTATGGGGCTGGGCGGCATGTTCCTGATCTGCTTGATCAAAAAGTCCCGCTCATCAATGAACTGCTCATCGTCGGTCCGGTCTTCGAGGAAGTGCGACAAGAAGGTCAGGAGCTTCTCGCGATTCATGAGGAGGATCTTCTGCACAGCAACCGACTTGTGAGGGTTGGCGACGAACACTTTGAATACGTGGAAGCCTTCGTACTGGACCATTTTCCTGTCGTCGCGCAGCAAGTTCATACATATCTTGAGGTGGTCGCCCTGGTCAACGTACGCCGTCATAACGCTGTAGTTGGACCGGTCTAGCAGGATCTCGCCGAGCAGTTTGATAGATTGCCTCTTGGTGACGTAGCTATTGGACTGGACCAAAATCTTGTTGTATTTGTCGAAGAAGAGGTCGAAGTTGACGGACAAGTAGCGTGGAACCAGATCCTTGTGCCGCGTCAGGAGCTCCTGAAGGCACCGTGTCAGTTGCCAGCACCAAATCTAACGAGCAGGGGGGCATTGACGAACTCGGAACGTGGTGAACGCATCGGCCGCAACCTCAAATGAGCTCTTGTCGATCCACTCAAAGAACTTCCAGAAGACGCCACGCCCGCTCTGTGGCCGATCACGATCAATTGCGTTGAGCCCCTTTGCACTTGATCCCGGCTCGTCGCCATCATCGTAGAGGATGACAGCGGCGGCAGCCTCGTTTTTGAGAAGCTCGCGGAGGACTGAGCCGGCGGGCGTGGCGCTCTCCTTGTGGTCGTATGCGCGGCACAGCTCCACGAGAACCTGCGGCCTGTTGCAGACGACGTATGAAAGGGCGATGGGGTCGCTCTTGGGGGCTGCCGCGGCGGGGCGAAAGCGAAAGACATACGAGAAAATAACCTGGGTATCCTTGCGTGACTCGAACGGCAGGCGGTATAGGTTGACAGCGAGGAGGTGCAGGAGGTCCTCGTCGATGAGGCCGGTGACGAGTTGGTAGATCTGCTCCGGAGAGCTATCGGTTTCTTGGAGACACAGCACTGTCAGTTTGAGCTGGTGAAGGGAGGGCACGCCACGAGTTTGCTTTGCCTCGACTCACCGTGTGTCCCTTGCAGTACCAGCTTCATTTGTGCCAGCACGCGGGCCAGCTCCTCAGCCTGTTCACATTAGCACTGCCGACAGTGAGTGTTGCCACCAGGCCGGGGCCTGGTGCTGGCGGCGGCGAACCTTTGCGGCTCCATTGGGACCATCCAACCGTGACACATGGTCTCGAGCCTGCCTGGGCAAGTCGGCGGTGGCACGCGATCGGGCTCTACCGAAGAGGAAAGACATGGCGTCGTCTGCGAACGAGTCGTCGAGGAGAGCCTGGACTGCAACCGCTGAGGGGGCCAGCGCGGGGCCAACGAGCGCAGGTCAACCGTCGCCGTCGGAGGATCCAGGTATAGTGGACTAGAAAGCCGTATGGTGTGAAGAGAGACCTTCAAGCGTTCATTCGACTACCGGGTCTTGGCCGCGACGGCGGCGCCTTGCAGTAAGCGAGTGACGGTACAAGCAAAGGGACGTGCCTCGGTCCGCGAATCGCGGTGGCTGCAAGTCGGGTATGCGCTGCTCAGCATGCCATGAACTCGGGAGCTGAAGGTTGGTGCTGCACGATAGGCAATTGGATGGGGGCAAGGCCAGTCAGGCGTAGGTTGAATTGCCCGGCTCGGAGCAGGTGCTGAGGGTGAGGTTGTTGTTTACTGCCACGGCCGGGGCCCGGGGTGCGGCACCGAGCATGGCACCAAACGGAAGGGGTTGACCTCAGTCAAGGCCGTCCAACCGTCCTGGCGCCCCAGTCGCCTGGCGACGGAGAGGCAGGGAGGCCCTGGAGGGGCGCCTGTCCGGAAGCAGGGTTGGGTGGGGGCAGTGCTCGGTATGTACATTGTATTGATCCATGGGCAAGATGATTCGTGAATATCTCTTTCGGCGCTACCTGTCGCTTTTGAGGTGTAAATCCACACTCGGCTACTACAGCATGGCCACTCGGCGCCTGCCTCACCCTTGATTTTGTTCGTCGGGCAGGTTGTGGTACAGCCTGGGACCACCGCTACCATAGGCTCTGATGCGATGGAGGGATGCCATAGCATCTCGCAGGTACTCCGAGCTGGTGTCGCGCAAGTAGGTACCTTACCTACTACTAGGTACTTAGGTATCTTACACCTAGGTACTCGTACCGTACACTGGGCCATTTGCGGTGCTGTGAGACCTTGAGAGCGGCAACCCATTTTCCACACAGAACATCGTGCTGTGTAGGCTCCCGGGCTTGCAGCTGGCCTGTTCTGCCCCAGAAAGGTTGCTTGCGACGGCTGTTCCTGTCCACGGGTGTCCGTCTCGTGGCCCAGTCCTCTAGGTACCGGGTAGGACCCTGGCGGGCGGGATGGAGGGGTCCCAGAGCCGCCGATAGGCAGGTGCGCAGTAACATGGTGGGCGGCCGAGGGGCACGCGTGCGTGTACCTGTCTGCCCAACAGCCACACAGAGGTACCCGAATGGCCACCGCCCGTTTGACCCCACCACAACGATTTGGTAGTGCCACCAGAATTGCGTTTCCGCACAACACAAAACCAGAACCCCGCCGACCGGACCTGATCGTTGCTGGTTGACTCACACTCTCGACTGACTTCGGGAAGAAGCACACCAAAGCCGTTTCCCACGGCCAGCGGCTGCTTCAACACGCCCAACACCCTTTTGCAGCACCACTGGGTCTCGCCGAGGACACCCACGACCGATCTGTTCCAAGCCTTCTGCAGACCCGAGAGCGGAGGCAGCCGAGGAACAATGTCCATCAACTTCCCCAAGGAGGAAGAGGCCACCATCGAGAGATGGCGCGCCATCAATGCCTTCCATCGCCAGGTTAGCTCGTCGACCCTCTGCTCTGTCGCTCAGAAGCTCCTTGGCGACGCTCGACCGAGCCCCCTTCACTAACAAACACGCCTCCCGCAGCTCGAGCTGTCTGAAGGCCGCCCGCGATATACCTTCTACGACGGACCTCCCTTTGCGACCGGTCTCCCACACTATGGCCACTTGCTGGCATCGACCATCAAGGATATCATCCCCAGGTACTGGTCCATGAAGGGCTATCACGTCGAGCGCCGCTTCGGCTGGGACACCCATGGCCTGCCAATCGAACACGAAATCGACAAGAAGTTGGGCATATCGGGCAAGGCTGCGGTCACCCAGTTCGGCATCGAAAAATACAACGAGGAGTGCCGTGCTATTGTCATGCGCTATGCCAGCGAGTGGCGCCTGACCATTGAACGACTTGGTCGCTGGATTGACTTTGACAATGACTACAAGGTGAGCAACCACAAGATCTCGAGGTGCGCTGCTCGGGGAGCTGACATTCTCTGTAAGACTATGGACCCCAAGTTCATGGAGACTCTGTGGTGGGTCTTCAAGCAACTCTTTGAGAAGGGACAGGTATATCAGGGGTATCGCGTGATGCCTTACTCGACCGTCCTTACGACTGCCCTGAGCAACTTCGAGGCCAATCAGAACTACCAGGACGTCACAGACCCAGCCGTTGTTGTCTCGTTCCCTCTCCTCGACGATCCCACCGTCAATCTCTTGGCCTGGACCACCACTCCTTGGACACTTCCATCGCATACTGGCCTTGCTGTTCACCCTGAGTTCGAGTATGTGAAGATCCTTGACGAAAAGTCCGGAAATACGTACATTTTGCTCGAGAAGCTCCTCAGCACACTTTACAAGGATCCCAAGAAAGCCAAGTTCAAGGTCCTGGGCAAGTACACTGGCAAGGACATGAAAGGATGGCGCTATAAGCCCTTGTTCGACTACTTCTATGAGGAGTTCAAGGACATCGGTTTCCGCGTCCTCAACGGTACCTATGTCACCGATGACAGCGGTACTGGAATCGTCCACCAATCTCCGGCCTTTGGTGAGGAAGATTACAACGTGGCCATGGAAGCCGGCATCATCAGTGAAAGCCGCCCTCCGCCCGACCCCGTCGACGATACCGGCCACTTCACCGACCGAGTACCAGACTTTGCAGGCATGCACGTCAAGGAAGCCGACAAGCACATCATCAAGTATCTGAAGAATACGGGCCGCCTCATCGTGGACTCGCAGATCCGTCACTCGTATCCAATGTGCCCTCGATCCGACACGCCTTTGATCTACCGCGCCGTCCCTTCATGGTTCATTCGCATACCCGAAATTGTCCCCGACATGCTGAAGAACATCGAAGGCTCTCACTGGGTTCCGTCCTTCGTTAAAGAGCGCCGATTTGCCAGCTGGATCGCCAACGCTCGGGACTGGAACGTGGGGAGAAACCGATATTGGGGCACGCCAATCCCTCTTTGGGTCAGCGACGATCTTGAGGAGCGAGTCTGCATTGGAAGCGTCGAAGAGCTACGCGAACTGAGTGGGTATAAGGGAGAGCTGGTCGATATCCATCGCGACAAGGTCGACCACATCACAATTCCGAGCAAGACAGGTAAGGGTGTGCTGAGGCGAGTCGAGGAGGTATTCGACTGCTGGTTCGAATCGGGCAGCATGCCGTACGCCAGTCAGCATTATCCCTTCGAGAACGCCGACAAATTCAAGCAGTCGTTTCCTGGAGACTTCATTGCGGAGGGTTTGGACCAGACACGAGGATGGTTCTACACGCTTCTTGTCCTGGGCACGCATCTTTTCGGATGCTCGCCGTTTCAAAACTGTGTCGTCAACGGCATCGTTCTTGCTGAAGACGGCAAGAAGATGTCGAAGAGGCTCAAGAATTACCCCGACCCGGGCATTGTGATGGACAAGTACGGGTCGGATGCCCTTCGCCTCTATCTGATCAACTCCCCCGTTGTGAGGGCCGAGCCTCTGCGCTTCAAAGAGAGCGGGGTCAAGGAGGTCGTGCAGAAAGTGCTGTTGCCGCTTTGGAACAGCTACAATTTCTTCGAGAACCAGACGGCGCTACTGAAGAAGGTCGAAGGCGTCGACTACATGTGGGACCCAAGTATGGAATCGAGCAACACCAACGTCATGGACCGCTGGATCTTGGCAAGCTGCCAGAGTCTCCTGCAGTTTGTTAATGATGAAATGCGAGGTAAGAATTTTGATTCAACTCGTCTGGTCCACGAAAGCTCTAACTAGCGTTAATGCAGGATACCGCCTTTACACGGTCGTGCCACGCCTGCTTGGGCTGATCGACAACACCACCAACTGGTACATCAGATTCAATCGCCGACGACTCAAGGGCGAGAACGGTCTGGACGATACGCTGCACGCCCTGAACGCGCTCTTCGAGGTTCTGTTCACGCTTTGCCGCGGCCTGGCGCCGTTCACGCCGTTCCTGTCAGACACGATCTACCTGAAACTCCTCAAGCACATCCCAAAGAAGTTGCAAGGGGAGGACCCTCGCAGCGTTCATTTCCTTCCCTTCCCGGAGGTGCGGGAGGAGCTTTTCGACGCCGAGGTTGAGCGGAGAGTGTCGAGAATGCAGCGCGTTATCGACCTTGCGAGAGTTTCGCGCGAGCGACGAGGAATCGGCCTGAAGACGCCACTCCGCACTTTGGTCGTAATCCACCACAACCAGCAATACCTGAATGATGTCGGGTCGTTGGAGAGCTATATCAAGGAAGAGTTGAATGTGCGAGATCTTGTCCTCTCTTCGGATGAGGCAAGCTACGACGTTCAATTCAGCGTTGTAGCCGATTGGCCAGTCCTGGGCAAGAAACTACGAAAGGACATGGCTCGTGTCAAGAAGGCGCTCCCAGACCTGACGAGCGAGCAAGTGCAGGGTTACCTGCGTGACAAGGAGATTCTCGTGGATGGCATTCGACTTGAAGAGGGAGACCTGGTCGTACGACGAGGCTTGCGCGAGGACACCGCTTCAAAGAACTTGGAAATTAACTCGGACAATGAGGTGCTGATCCTTCTCGACTCGGAGATCTATCCTGAATTGGCCCAAGAAGGTTTGGCCAGAGAGGTCATCAACCGTGTCCAGCGTCTGCGGAAGAAGGCAGGTCTGCAGACAACAGACGATATCAGGATGGAGTACAAGGTGCTGGCCGACCCTCAGGCCATCGGCCTGGGAGCAGTCCTCTCATCGCAGACTAGCGCCTACGAGAGAACCCTGCGACGCGGTCTGGATGAGATGCGGGAAAGCGTCGACCCCAAGGACATCATCGCCGAGGAAGAGCAGGAAGTGCAGCAGGCGACGTTCTTGCTGCGACTGATGAAACTGTGAGGCCCCCAATGCGGCTAGCTCTCCTTGCGAGCGAGGCCATCGACATTGTAGAGCGCCTTGCGCGGATAGACAGAAAGAGTTGTCCACCCTTGCGTGCGCTTTGCCCGGATCTGAGGGGCAGAAAAGCCCCAACATGTGAGCGCCTGGGTCCCGACTGATTGATGATATGTTTGCCCGGGGAGCCGCACTTGAACCAGAGCAGCGGGACGTGAACCTTCAACTTCATCTCTTGGCAGCCATCTTCTGTATCAAAGCTGGTTAGTTTGGTGGCCACGCCGAGTTTTGGGAGGTTGACATACCACACAGCAATCCTTTAGTCTCATGAACTCCTTGGCACACTTGTCTTTCTCGACGCTGTTATAATCCGTCACGATGCACTTTCCATAGGCAGAGGCCTAGAAAGAGCATTTAATTGACTGAACTCCATGGCAAACTTGATCCATGAGCTACAAACCTCGGCGGAGCAACGAGACACTGCCGTTGCAAACCTCTGGACTGGTCGGTTGGGTGGTTTCGTCATATCGCAATTGATTCGCTGACGGCAACGAGCACCACGCGCACGAACCAAAGGGGGGGAAGGCCACTGAAAGGATCAAAGTCGGTTGCGGAGCGTCGCTACCGGGAAAAAAAAATGCTTGTCACAAACGTACGTGAAGGTGCTCATGACGGTCTGTAAATCACGACGCCTAGTAACAGTGGCGTGGACCTGTCAGTGTTCGTTACTAAGGAATTACCTAAGGTGACCGACCGCCTGCGGGCACGCCGTTCCTGTCCACAAGCCTAATAAAACTCGCGAGGCGTTTCGGCTGGTCTAATCAAGTGCCGCCTCCTAAATGTATGTAGATTAGATTGAGCACCCAGCTTGGAGGGCCACTGCAGGTTTTCGTATTTCAGGGAGCTGGGGGCCTTTGTTGGGCGATCTGAAGGAGCCTGCGGAACCTGGCGTGCCTTTCGGGGTATCTCTGATCATGAGGGACCTAGCTCAGTCTGTATCACTACTGCCGAGACTGTACCCACTTCGTACCTTGGGCGAGGGGGGTGGGTAGCTACTAGCAGACGCGCAGTGCCAACCAAAACCTCCCGACACGCGCCCAGCCACCAGCGCTTTACGCGCCTCGGCGTCGCGCAAAGGGCATTGCCAACCAATCTTCTCTCAAACACCGCCATTCCCCACGAGCAGCACCGGGGCTTCCTCAACGCATACGAATCGGACGAAGCACGACGCCCATGGGAGCTTGCTCATTTCGTTCGGCTGGCCAGGTCAAGAACCTCTAGTGACCTTCGCTCTTGTTTTGGCAGAGGACTAGCCGCTGCGCATCCCGAGTCGTCAAGCCGAGCTGGCTCGCGCTCTATCCCAGGCATGGCTCGATGACATCCATGACTACCCGCCTCAAGTAAGCCACATTCCCCCGTGCACAATCTGCAAGAGACTGACAGTCGCAGTGGCATTCGTACAGAGCGCCTTACCTCCCGGCCGCGCCCGCTCACCAACCGGCACAGGGACCCAAACTGGCCATGATCCGTACTACTCTAATCAAGGTTTGAGCAACCCTCCGCGCATCTCCTCGGTTTCAATTCGGACCTGACACGATAGCGTCGCGATAGACATAACTATTCTGCACTCCATCGTTGCCGCTGCTCAAGATGAGCTTGACCATGCGCCGGAGCCCAAACCCCTTCCGGCGGCTGTGCTCTTCAAGGCTTACGACGAGATCCTACCAACCTTTGGCATCGACCCAGACTCTGACCACCACCTATCTGCTTTTATTTTCCGAATAGGTGGCGAGCAGGGCAATGGCAGTCTTTCGGACAAATTCCAGCTCATCCTCGGTCGCATGGGCATCGTCCTCGAGTTTGGCGACAATTCCACCGTCTCGGCTCCAACGTCATCCACGCTTTCAACATCACCCTCCCAATCGCACTCGAGTCGCCCCAATTCGGCCCCGAAGCCCCATATCGTTGGACCCTCTCAGGAGGCCCCGATCGCTGCAGAGGTGTCGTGGAAGGTTGCCGGTGCTCCTTTCCTCGCCAATCTGAGCGTACGCCGCCACGTTCCTCCGGATGCTCCAAACTCGGATGCACAAAACGCCCCTTTGCGCGCGTATCTCGGCCATTCCTTGGACAAGCCAGACGACCAAGGCTTGCATGGCTTTGTCGATAGGCCTTCGACACACCCCGAGAAACCAACCCCTGCAGCGCTCGAGGAGGCGTCTCACAACAAACCCGAAGAATCGCACCACTCAGGTCGATTTGGTCACATATATCCAGCGCATGCTAGCAACGAACCTACAACACGAGATCCGGGGGTGATGTCAGCCGGCGACCGCTGGCGAGACCTCGCGAGGGTTCTATCCAGCCAGAGAACGCGCGGAAAGGATGCCCTGGGCAAGCATCGAACTGCGGTCCTGAGCATGAGCACTCGCCCCGATGCCGACACTGTCGAATCAAGGTTGCCTCTGTTACAGGACCCACGCGGACTGCTGGCCCCAGTACTTGCAAGCTCAGGCCGGAGCCACGCAGAGATACTGGGGGAGCAAGACGGCCAAATGAGTATTGCATCACCCGATCGATTGCCGGAGGCCCCGGTAACCCCCCTGAACCTGATGCATGGTGAGAAGAGAACATTAAGTACGGCCATGGCCCGAGTGCGCGATCGTCATGCAGACCTGGAAGATATCCTTTTGCACCGCGCGGCGAGGGCACGCGAGATCTATCTTGCTAGCAAATTCTTTAACCGATGGGCAGATCGGACGGCGACCAAGCTCGAACGGGAAGCTGTGGCGCGAAGACATATGATACGGTTTCGGTGTTTCCAAGGCTGGAGTAGAGCGCCAACCCTCAAGGTTCCTGCGGCAGAGCACCTACGCGCCACCACTGCTGTACAGAAGTTGCGTCGAGCAATAGCCTACAATGAAGAGCAGCTCAGCCTGGCCGCAGCGGCGCTTGCACAAGCTTCTCAAGTCAGGATGGTGCAGGTGGCCCTGAGTCGGTGGACGTGTCAGGCAGCACAGTATACATTCCGCCGGAGACTTGCTTCAAAGTCACTTCGAGAAGGTATCAAGCGTTGGTCGGCACGGGCTCGGGAAAACGCGGTATTGGGGCGAGCGGCTTCGTCGATAGCTGCCCGCGGCGTCGAGCTCGGCGCCGTAAATAGGTGGACGAGTCATGTGCAAAGCAGCGGAGCTGAGTTCGCGGCAGCGCAACACCTTGCGGCAGCCTTCGGCTCAACCAGCTGTTTGCGTGAATGGGTATGCCAGGTAGAAGTATCGCGACGGGCAAGAGAATATCGTCAGCTTCGTCGGGAGGAGCAATTGCGCACGGCGCTCGATGCCTGGGGTTTGCGGGCGAGGGTACAAGCCTATAGATGGAGGCGAGAGTATCTATCCGTCACCGAGGCCTTTGACCGATGGATCGAAGGGACTCGCCGAGAGAAGGTAGCGGCAGATGCCGCTCAGCACCATCGTAAGCTGACCGGGGTAGCGAAAGCATACGACCGAACAGGGCGACTCGACAGGGATAGCTTGGAGCTCACACGCTTGCATACTCGAGCCCGCCTTTTCATCAGGTCGTCTCGCCTGTTGACAGTACTGGACGCAGCCGTGGACCGTCGCAAGCATCGCATGAGAAGCATGGTGCGTCGATATCTCATGGCGAGGTATACGCAGATGTCGTCTAAGCGCAGGAAACGCAACTTTTACGCGGCACTTGATCGATGGACGGCGGCGAGCCAGGACGGCGCCCTCGCAGCACAGTTAGCAGAGAGTCTGCATGCGGACCGTGCCGCAACTCTATGTCGCGGAGCAATGCTAGTATGGCAGAGGGGTGCCACCGACGATCAACAACTACAACTCGCGGCTCGTGGTCACTACAAGCAAGGGTGCATTGATGCATGGGCGACACTCATGGCGCAGCACGGCGCTGATGAAGCGTCGGCATGGGGCGTATGGGCTGCGGAACAACAGCGACATAGCCTCAAGGCATGGTCGATAGCTGCCCTACAGCGGAACGGCCAGGCACATTCGGCGACCGTCTTGCGGCAGAGACATGCTCGCGACAATCGGTTACGCGGCCTCCAACAATGGAAGAGGGCCCTGGTTGATGCTAGGCCGGGCGGGAATGGGCAACTTTCGCCGGCGGCGACGGAGAAATTCAGCACCAGGAGCACTAATCATGCCAGCTGGAGGTCAGTCCCGCCACGGCTGTCATATATCAGACGGGAACAGGACTTTTCCATCACTCCCATGCAGACGCCGACTCGCTGGACCGGGACTGCTCTGCCCATGACTAGCACGGATCGCGCGTCCAGGTTCATGGCCACGGTACAAGAAGCCGATGTTAAGTCGGCTGCTACGTCGAGCGCCGCAGGAGACGCGCCAACCTGGGGGCGAATCTCGCGAGAATCGGTCGAAGGTCTTGTGGCCAGCCATCTGCCATCGACGACACCGCAGGCCCCTGTGCCGACACATCTGGAGCGGCAGGGGCAGCTTTCTTTGCCCAGGGCCCGGCAGCTTAGCAGGAGTCTATTAGCAAGGTCCGCGCCAGTGCAGCCCATTTCAAGGCATGCCAGGTCCTACCAGCCATTGCCGGCGGCGGCGCTAGGTGGCGTCGGAACTCCTGGCCGCAGTCCGGACGCGGCTGGGCGTGCTGCGACTCTACGAGGATTCCGGCAGCGCCGTATGGCACAGGTGGCACCACGTAGTTCCAGGTAGGCGACTTAGCAGAATAGGGAAGATGAGGGACCTTGGGCCTGGGCCTGCCATGGTTGGTCCTCTGGCTCGATCGTCTTTGCATGAGAGCTCTGTCCAGTTTCCGTGGACATGGTACTTAAGGCGGAAAGCGAGGGCGTTCGCCAGCTGTTTGATATGGATGGCCGATGATGAAGTTGGACACAAGGCCCGTGATGTGCAGGTGCGTACAAGGGGGCATGGAAATGAAACTTACTGCTCGATACCCATTTGAATAGCTCGAATTGAGGCTCGCCCGGTTGGCCGGCGAGCGGTTGTTGGGCCCGAAACGGGGTCACGTCACTCCTGAGGTGGCGGGCGACCCCCTCAATCTGAACTGGCCGATACTGGCGATGGGAGTACGTCCTTCGTACCTTGACCAGGACGCGAGCAGCTTCAAATAAAAGTGCCCGGATGCTACAGCCTACCCGGCACTTTGACTGCTTTGTGAGGATGCACTCTGCGCACATGCTTGGTCGTTCCCGTGCTAAATAAAATGGTGCTTGAGGTCCTCTGATGGCATGTCACTGGCCGGGATTGGCATACATACTTCGTACGCATCGCCTCTGGGCACGCAACGCAGGTACGTTGGTGACCTGGCTGCTGCGCCAATTGCCGGGGTGTCGCTCAACTGCGTTCCAAGTTGGACCCGGGTACGGTTCACCGGCTCCGGGGGAGCTGCGTCAGTGGGGACCTCAGCTCCGCGCCACTTGCAACTCGTCTCCGGAGAGCTTCGTCACCATCACCCTTCACACAGCACCCACACGACGCACGCACCTGCCAAAGCGTCGCGAAGCTCATGCGCACGCCCATCCGCCCGTCGCATCGACATACTCCATACCACGCGCCCAGCACACGGCTCAGCATCTCGCGTGACAGCCATCGCCTCGTCCACCAGCGCACAGATCTCGTCTCGACGCGCCGGTGCGGCGTCGACCTGTTACCCATCTGGCTCGGCTCGACGCACGCATGCCGACATGCCCAATCTCTGGGCCTCCGAAAAGTATGGCTGCAGTCCTCCCAGGTAGGCCGCAAGCCAGCCTCCAAGGACTCGCGACTGGCTTCTGGAGAGACCGGCACCTTAATGTGAGTGGATACATCGCCGTGGCATTCCCATCGGAGCAGGTGGTTGTCTAACACGCGCGGGTCGATCTGCTGTAGGCATACATAAGCGGCAGCGCCTTTACCATTCTCGATGGCTCCCGCGCCATCCTGCAGACCATTTACGATGACGACGACGAACACGAGCTCCAAGCCATCGCGATCGACGAAGTATCCGGGAACATAGCTGTCAGCACGGCGAAACAAGTCCGCGTCTACAAGCCTCTTAAGCTCGCACGCGATGACAGCCCGAAGGTGCTGCCCCTCGCCTGGGCAACTTGACGCCGGCGCGATGCTGACCCTCCTCTCCCGCAGTGGGCTCAACAGGCCTCCTTCGACATTGCCCATGCGGCACCGGGGGCAGCGTTCTCCCTTTCCTGGGGGAGCTCCGAGGAGCTCCTCGTTGGCACCAGCGCCCTCTCTCTATTCGCCACCCGAACGCAACCTTCTTGTTGCTGGACGAAGGCCCTGCCAAGCCCAGTCAGCTCCGCGACTATATCGCACGACTCGGCCTATATTGCGAGCATTGGGCGCTACGATTGTCTGCCCAAGATATGGCGGCGCCTCACGTACGGAGCCGACGAGGTTCGTTTCGACATGACCTACTTGCGACACCCCGACGTCGTCACGTCGGTGAGATGGCGCAGACCATTTCACCCGGACCAGGCCGTCGAGAACGTCCTTTACACGGCCTGTCGGGACCTGCAAATTCGAATATGGACCCCGATTGATACCAGTGATGGGCGCCATTGGCAGCTGTGGGGGCAGGTCAGTCTCACAGAGACTCCCAGTCGAGTCCCCGACTCTCTCACGCCCCGCCTGGTCTGCATCATTGACGGCCGCGACTTCACCGCCGCGGTGGAATGCGCTGTCAAGGATCGCATGGCAGATGACCAGAGCACCGACGACGTGGCTCTTGACCACCTCGTAGCTGTCGCGAACCGGAGCCCGGAAATATGCCTTGCCATCAGCTCTCGAGGCACCATGTCGGCATGGGCCCTCGAGAACGTGGGCGATGTGCGCGGAAGCAAAGGTAGGATTTTCAATATTGCGCAGGTTCAGTCCCGCCAGTTTGAGAGCTTGGGGGGCTTTCTCAATCCCCAGGAAGACCCCCCCCATCTACAGGCCGAGGTGTATTGCGACAGGTCCGACGGGCGCTTGTGTATGATGGTACACGACCTTGACGGAAGGATCGGCATTCTCTCCAGCAACGTTGCGGATTTGCTTGACCCAACCACCAACGACAGGCGGCTCGCCCTGCAGACTATCTGGTCAGGCCACTCGTCGCCCATCAAGAAGATCGTGCGCAACTTCAGCGGCCGAGCCATTGTGTCGAGAACCGACAACAGCGAGTGCATCGTTTGGCACCACGCCTCGTCGAGCTCGCGTGACACGCCAGCCATTGAATTGTCCCGGCGCAGTGTTATCCCAGAAACTCGACGGATCCATCGCATCTCTCTCCTCCGCAAGGGTCGCTTCGTCATCCTCCTCTGCGACAATGAAATATCGCTCTGGGATTGCCGGACCGATCGGGCAACCCTCCTTTCCCGATGCTCTTTCCACCTGGACGGCAACCCTCTGTGTCTCATCATACTACCTCGCCCCGACGCCAGGCAGATTACGACTGCGCACGTTGCCACTGTCTCCTCAGGTCGCCACGGATTGGTATGGGAGGTCAACCTACCTCGGTATATGGACGACCCGTTGACCACGGAAGGGGCGGCCATCCAAGAGTTCTGCAGGTTCGAGCTGGCAGTTCCCGAGGACCTGAAGTACGTCCTTCCAGTCGACCCAGCGGGCTCTTCTCCCATGGCCTCGGGCTTCTTGGATGTGTTCGCACGTGACGTGGCTATTTCCTACACGCGCTCCGGCCGGGTGGACTTTTGGACAGCCCGTGTCGATCCTGCGCGGCGTTGCGTGGAGTGGCTGTCGACCTGCTTCACCGAGACCGGCATCGCAGATCCCGCACTGGCAAGCGGCAGTATGTTGAAGAAGGCCGCGCTGGTGGATTCTGCCCGGTCCCAGGTTACCATCTGGGACATAGGCGGCTGCCGTCTCGAGTTCGAGAAGGGCTATGTCATGGACAATGAGATACGGGATCTCGACTGGACATCTACCCCCGACAGCCAGTCGATACTGGCCGTAGGCTTCCAGCACCGCGTCGTACTGTTATCCCAGATGCGGTTCGACTATCTAAACAAGGGTCCTGCCTGGGCACCGATCCGGGAGATCAGTATCCGCACCCTCACTCCTCATCCAATTGGCGACTCGACGTGGCTCGGTGACGGCCATCTGGTGGTTGGTGCCGGCAATCAGCTCTTCGCCTACGACCGACGTGCCGGCAGCAACGAGTCGCTTCTGGCAGACGTCCGTCTGACTCACCACCGCAAGGACGGAACCTGGGATCTCTTCGAGGCCGTTCAGCGTTTCAATGGCCCGATTCCCGTCTTTCACCCACAATTTCTCAGCCAATGTATCCTTGCCGGGAAGAGCGTCCAGGTTCGACGGATCCTCGAAGCAATGCATAAGACGCTGAAATACCTCATCCCCGGCGAGGCCGTCGATGACTACCTCGGATTAGATCTGAAGGAATTCTACACATCTCCTGTAAGTGAAAACGCACGTGGAACATGCATGTTTAGTCGCTAACGAGAACCTACATAGGCCGATGAAACGCAACCCACCGAAAGGTCAGGTGCTTCTCTCTTGAATGGGTATAAGGGAGACGATGAAGAGGAGGATGAAGCAGGTTTCACTGAAAAGACGGCCGTGGCTATCAACGAGAAATTGCTGAGCATTGGCCTTCCTCAGCTCTCGGGCCACGAACAGATGCAGCTTGCTGATATGGTTGAGTGTGTCGCCTTGGCAGAGAAGCATCGGCGGTCCATGGACGAGAATGCGGCCCGGTTCATGGTCTTCTTCCGCCAGAACGCGTTGAGAAGAAGACGGTCGACCGACATGTACTTGTCTTGGAGAGAGTTCAGCTGGGCGTACCACTCTGGAAGCCAAGACCTCCTGCTCGACTTTGTATCGCGACAAGCCCACGGGCAGATGTTGTGGGACAATGCGCGGGAGAGCGGCATCTTCATGTGGCTCTCGGACATTGGCACAGTGGTAAGTTGACGAACCAAATTTAATAAGGGAAGATGGACTGACAAGACGGGCCGTTGCGTCGATCTGGTGTAGAGGGAGCAGTTTGAGACAATTGCTCGCAACGAGTACAATAAAGGCGACACCAAGAACCCTGTCGACTGCAGCCTCTTCTACCTGGCATTGCGAAAGAAGGCAGTACTGCAAGGTCTGTGGCGCATGGCCAGCTGGAACAAGGAGCAGGCCGCAACCCAGCGGTTGTTGGCGAACAACTTTGACGATCCGAAGTGGCGAACGGCCGCCCTGAAGAATGCTTACGCACTCCTCAGCAAGCGGCGCTTCGCATACGCGGCGGCCTTCTTTCTCCTAGCCGACCACTTGGAGGATGCTGTCGAGGTTTGCCTGCGGCAGCTTCACGACATGCAGCTGGCTGTTGCCGTTGCCCGAGTTCACGGAGGGGACAGCAGCCCGGTGTTGCGGAAGCTACTGCGAGACGAGGTGCTCCCACTTGCAGCACAGCAGGGGAACAGGTGGCTCGCGTCATGGGCATTCTGGATGCTGGGTCGCAAGGACATGGCAGTCAGGGCGCTGATTGTGAGTTTCATAAGCGTCCTTGGGGTGGGCTGCCCGCCAAGTTGTGCTAACTTTGGATCTCCAGACGCCAGTGTACACACTCTTGGAGACTCCCTGTTCGCCCGATATCCAATCACGCCTCTTTTTGACGGACGACCCGGCTCTTGTCGTGCTGTACTCGCAGCTTCGCCAGCAGACACTGCAGACGCTACGCGGAGCGTCCAAGGTGACGCCAAAGGTGGAGTGGGAGTTTGTTCTCCATAGCGCCAAACTGTACGACCGAATGGGCTGCGACCTTCTCGGCCTGGACTTGGGTGAGTCTGCGCTCGTTCTCGATGACGGTGGACGAGCTGGTATTCAGAGCTTCGCTGACCGAGTGTGCAACGGCGGCAGTCCGAAATTGGGAATTCCAACGACCGGTCATGGCCGGGTTCGGCGGAGAGGTGAATCCGCTGAAGCTGCTTCGGCGCCGAAGCTCCCTCGTCGTCGACGATCTACCGCCAATTCGTCGGAATCTCGGTTCGGGGCCAAAGATCGAGGCGGCGACAACGAGCAGGAAGCCGCTGGCCCCAGCGCCCCCAGCGTTCCAAGAGCCGGATGCCGCGTCGCTTCTGGACAGCTTCGGCCTATGATGATGATGATGTCGTCTGTCTTTGGTGGTACGAGTAGATCTGCAGGCTACAGCTACTGCGTACAGTATGGCCCTGTTCGAGATCCACGTATTGTACTACCATTGCCATGTAGCACCGTGTAAGATAGAGGGGAGCTTGCTGCAGTTAGGGGCGGTCGGCTGTGGCAATGAGATGGATTAGTCATGGCATGGAGGGTCATCCCAGCCTAACCTAACCTATAGTTGAGTAGTTTCCATGACCACGGGTAAAATAATCCGCCATCGTCATCATCGAGCCCTGTCTGTGGCCATTGATAATAGCGAGACAATCTCGAGCCGCCGCCTCGTGACTTGGTTCTGGGAAGTTACAGGTCTGCGTCCCTCTGACCGACGAAGCCCCTAAGCGGTCCGAGAGGTGACGACGTCGCGGCGTGTCTCACCCACCCGACTCGCGTTGTCTGCCATCCTCTGCACAAATAAGCGCGACCCCAGTCGATGATGCCCGAGTGCAAGCCGGCCATCCGACGGTCCGTGGAATTGAACTGAGCCACCCAGCGCCGACCAAGAACCGTCCATCGCCATATAGAGCACATGGAGCCGCCATCGCCACATCCCCCACCGGGAGAGCGGATGCGGGAGGACCAGCGCCTGCTTGCCCGGCCTCACACCAAGCCGCCGTTGCCACCAGGCCGCCACTTTACCGTCCGGAGCGTCGTCGTCGGCCTCGGAGTTGGCACCGTCATATGTGCCGCTAATGTCTACTTTGGCCTCCAGACCGGATGGGTGTCCATCATGTCCATGCCTGCCAGCCTCATGGGCTTCGGCATCTTCAGGCTCCTGCGCCCACACTTGCGTTTCCCCTTCACGCCCGTCGAGAATGTGTTACTCCAGAGCGTCGCCTGCGGCATGGCAATCATGCCCCTTGGCTGTGGCTTTGTTGGCGTGGTTGGTCACCACCCGCCCCAGGTGAAATGCCCATGGTACCGTCTGTTGACACTCGCCTACAGATTCCCGCCATGGACTACCTGCTAAACCCCGACGAGCAAGGTCCCCTGTCGCTGAGTGTCGGCCAGCTCATCATCTGGTCCCTGGGACTCTGCTACTTTGGCGTCGTCTTCGCCGTGCCTCTGTAAGCAGCGACTCCACGGGGGTACACAAATGCCGCTGGCTTACTGACGCTCGCCGACAGGCGCCATCAGGTCATCATCCGAGAGCGACTCAGGTTCCCCAGCGGCTTCAGCACCGCCGTCCTGATATCCGTTCTCCACGGCCAAGGAGGTCGTCCTTCGAGCAAGGAAGACTTGGACGCGGCAGCACAGGGGGGCTTCGCCAGCCTTGTACCTCGTGAGGAGCCTTCGCCCAGTCTGTCACCCATTGCCAATGATTCCGCGGCAATGGACGAATCAACATCGTCAGAGGAAGGAACAGACGACTCACAGGACTGGGTGTCCAACATGCGCCTCTTGCTCCTGTGCTTCCTCGTCTCGGGACTCTTCACGGTTACCACTTACTTTCTCCCGTTCCTGCGCAACATCCCAATCTTTGGGACTGTCGCAGCTCAAACGTGGCTCTGGACGCTGAACCCTAGTCTTGCATACGTTGGCCAAGGCATCATTATGGGGGCCGAGACCACGCTGCATATGGTCATCGGCGCCGTTGTCGGCTGGGGCTTGCTCAGTCCTTTCGCGAAAGCCAAAGGCTGGGCCCCTGGCCCCGTTGACGACTGGGAAAGTGGCAGCAAGGGCTGGATCGTCTGGGTCTCGCTGGCAATCATGCTTGTTGATGCCGTGGTCAGTCTCGGCTATATTGCCTTGCGGCCCTTACTTGGCCGAAGACTACTTGCGCTTGTCGAGTCAGTGCGGCGCCGGCTTCGCGCACGGGGAGGCATCACGGGATTGCTTCGCCGCTCCTCTCATCGCTACGCACCACTGCCGGATCGGGATCAAGACGGCCACCAGGTGTCTCGCCTGGCACCGTCTCTCGACTGGCCGGACCGTAGCAAAAGCCATGGAGACGATGACGACGACGACGACGCTCCGCCCGAACACCGCATCGGGGGGCGCCTTGTAGTCGTCGGGCTTGTGCTGTCCATACTTTTGTGCGTTCTGACCATCCATGTCGTATTTGGGGATCTCGTGCCCCTGTATGCGACCGTCACCGCCGTCCTCATGGCTCTCGTCCTCAGTATCATGGGGGTCCGCGCTCTGGGCGAGACCGACTTGAATCCCGTGTCCGGCATCAGCAAGCTTGCTCAGCTGTTCTTCGCCTTTATCGTGCCTCAGTCCAACAAAAATAGCGTACTCATTAACCTCGTTGCAGGTGCTGTGGTGAGCAATTCCCCCCCCCACAACGCCCCTTTTTATCTCGCCATTGTGCTGACTCGAATACATGTATAGTCTGAAGCTGTACGTTCCATGCCCTCTCCCAAACGGCGCTCACCAAATTGCCAGTAGCTTACAACTAGGTATCATCGTCGACTAGGGCGCCTTGCAAGCTGGAGACCTTATGCAGGACCTCAAGACCGGCCATATCCTCGGAGCCGCTCCAAAGGCACAGTTTTGGGGACAAGTCATTGGCGCCACCGTCGGTGCCGTGCTCAGCGCCTTCATCTATCGCTTGTATACTTTGTGAGTTCCCTTGTCTGTCAGGCTGTGCGGCCTAGCCATCTGTATGGGTTTCGATGCTGACCAAGGATGAACCTGTACAGGGTCTACACAATTCCAGGAGAACTGTTTCAGGTCCCGACCGCCTACGTTTGGATCTTCACAGCGAGGCTGGTGACTGGGCAAGGCCTGCCGCCCAAGGTCAAGGAGTGGGCTATTGGCGCTGGTGCGCTCTTCGCCTGCACCACGATGGCGAGAACCTTGTCGGTAGGCAAGCGATGGCGATCGTGGGTTCCAGGGGGCATTGCGGTGGCTGTCGGTACGTGAAGTTACCGGGCATGTCGCGTCTGGGCCGTTGGTACGAGAAGCTAATTGCTCGTAGGCATGTATAACGTCCCATCCTTTACGCTTGCTCGCGCCATTGGAGGAGTATTTGGCTGGTACTGGGTTCAAATAATGCGGCGGTCCAACACGCCACTCATTATCATGGCATCGGTACGGGTCTCATCATTTGCCCGTATAAGCCGAGGTCTGTCTTTGCTGACCTGTAGGAAGGGCTTCATTCTCGGCGAGGGATTCTTGAGCATTGTGAACCTGCTTTTGCAAGGCTTCCAAGTTCCCCATTACTGACGCGTGTTTTGATGGATCGCCGTCGCAATTTGCATAGAGCTGGAGACGAAGACGGGCAGCTCGGCGCGCGTGACTTGCTCGCCCGGATTTTACACTATTTGCCTCACATCTAGAGCCTCTATTTGAGCTTCCATGACTGACTTCTCTCTGGCTGGCCCGCGACGCACCATGCGGCGTCAATGGTGAGGGCCCGAGCGTTCTCCTCGAGGGCTTTGAAGGTAATCTTTCCAGAGACACGTGTCGCCGGAGGACTCGTCACGGGCGGGTTTTGTGGTTCTGCAAGGAGCAATCCTTGCTTCCAGTGGGTTTCGACACCGTCAGGCCCCGTGGTGAAAGCGACGTTGCCGCTCTTCTTGGCCACCCAGGCATCGGGCGTGGTTGTCGGGGGCGGCATTGGTTCTTCACTCGAAGTGGCGAAGAAGTTGTCAAACCAAATAAGAAAGCCATCAATCCCGTCGACGGACCTGCTCAGGTCCGAGTGCCAGTCCGCCGTAAAGACCAGCTCTTCCGCTTTCACGCTTCCCAGATCGAGCGTCTTGAAAGGGAAGGGAGTGCCGCAGACTGAGCTACCGGGCATTGTCTCTATGCGGGCCTCCTCGTAGATGCCCTCCTGCATCGCCTTCATGTCAAAGCCGTAAACGTCTCGCCAGAACGACACGTGCTCCGCCACGTAACTCGGGTCCGCAATGGGCGCAACCCAGATCGTCGCTGAGCTCGGGACCAGCAGGCCGTCGGGCTTGAGGTACTTGTCGCGGGCGTAGAGCACACTCGGTAACATGGCCTCATACAAGAGGCAATAGCCCATCCACTCACTGACAATCATGTCCACCTGGTCGACGGGAAGAACCACGTCTTCGATGGCGCCGTGAAGACACGTGATGACGTCTGACAGCCCGTTGTTGAAGATATTTTCCCTCGCCTTGTCAATGATGTCCGACTTATCGACGGCGATGACGCGAGCTGCGCCAGCCTTGGCGCAAAACATGCTGAGAATGCCTATGATAGGTACCAGGAGTGTTAGAATTCAGGGTAGGACATGCGGGAGGCCGGTCGTGGACTCGATTCACGTACCTGTGCCGCAACCAATGTCGAGGACAACCTTGCCCTTGAGGAGATGCTTGTTGCTATAGATGAAGTCTCGGTACGCATCTGTGCGGACACGGTCCTTCAGCATAGTTTCGTGTATGTCTAACGATGTGAGGACCGAGTCAGCTTGCACGGAGCCGTGGTGACGTTGCAGACGCCGGCAAACGAACCATTGAACGCGTAGGACTCGAAGTAGTAAGCGGAGTTGTCGCGGGCCGGAGCGCTGCTGGCCTGGGCTGCGGGCTTCGTGGTGACGTCCTGGTCGTCGCCCCAGCGGCGGTCGAGCGTCTCCTGCACAGTGAGGCGATAGTTGGCGAAGCTAGACTGGATGGCCTCAAGCTCCGCCTCGAGTTCGGCATTGCGCTTCTGCAGGGTCACGGTCTGCTCGCCACCAGCCTCGGCGGCCTGCGCGCTCACTGCCTCGAGGACATCATCCAGAGAGAACAGGACGGCGTCGTTGTCCAAGACCGGCTTGAGGAAGTCGTCGCTGTCAATGTCCTGGGGTGTGATGGGAGACGGCAGGGGCCGGCCTTGGCGGACACTGTCGCGAACGAAATTGACAAGCTTGACGGCTCCGAGAAAGTCGAGACGAAGCCGGGCAAGGTTGTCCTTCAGATCGAAGCCATAGTGCTGCACACAGTAGGCGAGCATCTCATCAAGAGACGGGAAGGTCTTGGAGTCGAAAAACGACACCACGGTCACGGCCTCCTCATCGGGCTCAACATCGAGCCACTCGCCGTCGTCAGCCCCGGAAGACGACTCATCCGAAGATGTCACACGATCGTCGAGATTGACGGCCATTGCAACCGCGGGCTGCAGGGCGCCGGAGGTTGTGCGTGGTTGCGGGTGGGATTGAGTGAGCGCGACACTGGCGTGACGAAAATGTACAAGTGTGTGCTGCGATGAGATGAGACTTGCTCCAGGCGAAATGTCCACGACCTTTGTTGACAATTGGGGCTTGAGCCTGTGCCTTTGTTTTGTAAGTGAATTTGTCGTCGTCACTTGTGACTCTTGCTGAGGTCGGTGTAGGTTTTTTTCTGCCAGAGGTTTTTCTTTCGTCGGCCAACTATGCAGAGGTAGGCTGCACAGCGCACCGCAGCAGTGCCCGAGCAGCGCTAGCGGCCTGAAAGTAAGGATGGAACCTACTTGGACTTGTGGTGCAGTCCACTTTTTGCTGTCCCACTTCATTATCGTCTCGTTACCTCAACAAACTGTACATGATGGTGCACTACACATGGGCACGGAGGCAGCTTCATCTACGGGTAAATCACAATCTTACTGCTAGACGATACAGGGGACGGCTATTTGGTCGAGACGGCACGGGACGCAGGCGGATTCTGTCAGCGACAGGGCCCAGCGGTCGGAGGAAAGGGTCCTTTGAGCCCCTGGACTACAATTTATACAGAGGTAGTTATATCCCGAGTCCGGTCCAAGTTTGAGCTTGCCCGGTATTCAGAGTTCGTGGACGGCTTCGGGCCACTATTCAGCAACCAGCCGAGGCTCAATGGACGTCGTGAGGGGGGCACATCAGCCAGGCATGTTTGGAAACGCATGCCACGATCTGCTCGTGGCCGCCGCGCTGATCTCGCCGCGCAAGCATGAAAGCTACACACGGCAATGGTAGCGGAGCGGCTATCGGAGCGGGCATGGCCGACTGCAGTGACAAGTTGTTTGCAGTTTCATGTACGACTTCCTCGTGCCACCACGCCAAGGCCACCCGTGCTGACGACCGTGTGCGCCTCTATGCATTTCAGGTGGAATGCTCGAGGTATGTGTGTCCAGCCCTGGGGAAGAGAGAGAGCAGTCACAGGGCGAGTCGGCTGTGCTCTCTCAATCGACATCGTCATCGCCCTGGCTCTCATCGTCTCCATCGTCCTCCGCGTCTGAGACACTCTCACCAAGATCACGCAGGCGTGCCTTTGATCCAGCGTGGCTTTCTGTCAGCAGCATTCCTACATCGCAAGCCGGAATGTGGCTTCACGGCCGACTGTCGGAGGCCACCCACCTTGTATTTGCCCACCTTCTCCTCCAGGTCGCCAAACACCATCAGTAGGTCGTCAAGCTCGGACTGAACGGCATCTTTCGATTCATTGGCCGCCGACTTCAATGATTCCGCCTGCACCGAGTTAGCGAGGGGCAACTGACCGATCGATGTGATGGGGCGTACTGCTTGAAGTCTACTCTCCAGATCCACCTTTTCAGACTTGCTTTGCCCGAGTTGCGACTTCAGCTCGAGGCATTGTGCCTCTGCTGCTTTCAGCTGCAACGCGAGCTCTGCTTCTGCTTTAGAGCTCGCCTCTCGGAGAGCGTTCACCTCGTCCGCCTTGCCCTTGTTTGCCTAGTTTGGAGAGTGCCTCGGTTAGTATCACATGCGCCGGTAACGTCGCATGGAGAATATGGCGAGTTCTCCCACCTTCATCAAATCTACCTCTAGGCGGCTTATGCTGGCCCGAAGATCGGCGGCTTCGGCTTCTGAGCGCAGCTGCGCGCGTTCCATCTCAGCTTGTGCAACTTTGCGCGCTTGGGCAAGATTGGTCTCGTGGGTGGCCTCCCTCGATGTGAAATCGGCCTGCATTGACGAGACGCGCCGTTCCTGCTCAGCGACCTTTGCAGCTCCTTGGCTTTGTATCGCGCTGTGGCGGCATCGATTAGTTAGCACCACGGGCTAGGACGCGACGACAGCAAATTGGTCGATGCAAGGGCTTTGCGTACCGTATTTCGGCCTCATGTGACCGCTGCAGAGCCTCGTATGCATCACGCAGCTTGGTGAGCTCCAGAGCAGCTTCCTCCCTCGAATGCCTGCTCTCTGCCTTGCTCTGGTCTAGCTGCTCCTCCAGATGGACGGCTCGTGTTTTGGCTTCCTGTATCGCGTGGTTCTTGTCTTCCACTTGACATCGCAACGAGTCCACAAGCTCACGTGATATCCCCTTCTGAACGCCGTTTGTTATGACCGAAATTTCCAGCTCGGGAGCTCTGTCAATGGACCTCAGGATCCTGCTGTAGTTGTCCTTGAGGAACTCTACAAAAACGGCGTCAAAGAAAACGTCAGCCAGTCCGCTTGGTGACGAAGGGTCGCACTTCTGGGGTGTCACTTCAAAATCCCGGACAAAAGGGTGGCTACGCAGGTTAGTCAGGCTATCGCGATACACTTCGGATCCGAGTCGTGATGTCAATATCGAGTGGAGGGTTGACCGCGGGATGGGCGAGTCTTTGGTCGAGAACTCGTAGGCAACGCCGAGCAACATGGCCATCAGGCCTTGCACCAGGCCGTCCCACACAGGCTTGGGCTGTAGGATCGCCTGGATCAAGCTCTGTACATTGCTGCCCTCTGCAAGGAAGTCGTTGACGGCATCCATGTCCTCGAACATCCATCCTAGGAGAAGCATGAGGTAGCCGACGAGTGGGCGCGGGTCTTCGTCGCGGCCGATGCCCGATATAAGATGCGCGGCAATCGTCTGGATACTCGTCACGACCTCCTCGCCATTCTCTGCGTCACCCTCAGTGAGAGCGAGAGCCTTGGCCTTGGCCGTGTCATTGCCCTGCAGGAGGTGGAAGGTGATGACAGCAGCGAACCACTGGCGGTAGGGATCAACCGTATCGACGCCACCATCTGGTCGGAGGAGGACGGTCAAGACATTGGCAGACTCGTTTGGTCCATGCAGGTAGCCGTCAATGGCCCGTCCGAGGAAGTGAATCCTGACCTCTGCATGGTTGCAGAGGTAGGCCTTGAGACACTCGCAAGCGGCGAAGCGGAGGTCAAAAAGACGCTGATCCTGTGTGTTGAGGACAAGGTCTAGCAAACCGTCGATAACGTACACGGTGTGAGCGCCGTTTTGCGGTGGTGTGTTGGGGGTAGGGTCCGGCACGGGCGACGGCACAGTCAACTGCGCGAAGCTCTCCTGCAGCAGTGTGGAGTTTCGAATCATGTCGCCGCAGGTGACGAAGGCCTATGTACTCGGCAAGGTTATGAGACAGGGTTCTAATCGTAGTGGGAGACTCTGGACAAGATTGCACACCTCGGCTCGAATGGGGACGTGACCGATGTCGCGGCGAAATGCCAGCTGTAGCACATGATGGACGAGCCCCTGCTTCCACAGGGCGTTCTGGTTCTGCAGAAGGCCCGTCGCGCCTATGGGGAGGAAGAGCCTTATGATGGCGAGGAAGGCATATATATTCCTGTTGCGTTGAATTTCGGCCCATGCGGCCACGTCCTCGGCGGCGGGTAGCTGGGCCTCGAGCAGGCCCTGCAGCAGGCCGGCAAGGTCTCTCATGCAGCCCGACTCCCGGAAGAGGGACTGGTTGGACGCGTTGCGACGCAAGAGATTTGCCAAGAGAATAAGGCAATCTTCTACGGTACGGCCACCCTCGTACAAGGCGCCGTCTGCCTCGATAATGGCGAAGAGTTTCTCAAAGGCATTCTCGAAGGCAACTAGCTTCTGTATCTCGATCGACGTCGGGGTGAGGGCTGTGAGGAGGCTGATGGCTTCATTGCGAATGGCGTCGCGGCCGTCATTGAGAGCGGCGACGAGACGGGAAATGCCGAGGGGTGCGGTGAAGACGCACTCCTCGGTACGCTGCGTGCGAGCGGCGAGAATAGCGGTCAGGAGCTGGAGGGCATAGAGTCGCGAGTAAAAGTCTGGCGAGTCGACGAAGTCGAGCAGGAGAGTGATGTTGTCCTGACGCTGCGTGAACTCGTCGGCGAGCCAGAGCACAATTTCGTCAGAGGCTTCAGGGCTGTCCCGGTTGGGGTTGAAGAGCATCAGCAATGTCTCGAGCACGACCTTGACCGTGTCGACATCGTCGCCGTCTTTGCCGAGGCTCCCGATGAGGCTACGGAGGGCCCCCGAGGCCACCGAGGCAGGAAAGTCCTTGGCGAAGCTCCGAAGCCCCTGGATGGCAGCGCGACGATCCTCAAGAAGGGTTGCCGAGCTCAGGCGGCCGCTGAGGACGGTGATGGTCTCGCCCACAGACTGTTGCTTTGCCGGGGCAGTCGAAAGGGAGAACATGGTGAGGGTCGAAGGATACCCGCCATTGGGTGGGCGATGGACCGCACCTGGCTGGCAGGACAGAGTGTGACCGGAGGCGAGATTCTTGAGTGCCAAATGTCCAGTACGCGACGAAGCGAAAAGCGACGACGGGCAGCTCTCCAGGAACGGCTTGTTGGGTACAGCCGGGGGGAGCTGTTGCGCTGTCCTCAAGCGTTTTGCCTGTAGAGGTGAGGTACTGAGGTACCTATGTTACCTTTTGGACCTGCAGCGGAACAGGTTCCTAGGTCACTGCAGTGGTCTGGCGCCACGGTACGTACTACCTAGTAGGTACTGCTCAAGTGACAGTCCCCGTAGGAGGTACCTCGCACCTTCACATTAGTTCCTGCAGGGTCCAGGCCGGTGGAGAAAGCTTCGGGACCCGCGGCAGGTACCTTTCTGAGGTCGAGATGTTGTACTATGACTAAGCGAACCGAGTACCCAAGCACACAAGGTACCTCGCTGATAAGATAAGGAAGACTTAGTTTCGAGAGGCAGGCAGGCGAACTCAACCCATCAACGACCATCACTCCAAACCGCTGAACTGATCGCGCTCGGCTTCGCCCTCTCACTCGCTCGCACGCACGCACACACGTCCCTTTCTGTTAGAACGGCGAAGCAGCGCGAGAATCTGGATACCCTCTGTATTACGCCCTCCGGCCCCCTCGGCCGCCGCTGACTCAGGGCTCCTTGTCCCACCCTTCATCCATCATGGGTATTCCGGCTGCGTTCCGATGGCTCTCCAACAAGTATCCCAAGATTATCTCGCCTGTGGTCGAGGAGCAGCCTGTCACCATGGACGATGGGACCGTTGTTCCCGTCGACACGACGCGGCCCAACCCGAACGGCGAGGAATTCGACAACCTTTACCTCGACATGAACGGCATCGTGCACCCTTGTTCCCACCCCGAAGACAGGCCTGCGCCCAAAGATGAGGAGGAAATGATGCTGGAGGTTTTCAGGTACACAGATCGTGTCGTTAACATGGTGCGCCCGCGGAAGCTGCTCATGATCGCTGTCGGTACGATTACCAGCCCCCTAAACCCCGACCCTCAATCACCGCTAACCGCCAGTTTCGCAGACGGTGTTGCGCCGCGCGCCAAAATGAACCAGCAGAGGTCGCGCCGCTTCCGTTCCGCCCAGGAAGCCAAGGAGAAGGAGGCCGACAAGCAAGAACTCCTGAAGCTGGTTAAGCAGCAGAACGGAGGCGTCCTGCCACCGGAGCACGCCGAGACTGTCGCCAAAAGGGCCTTCGATACCAACTCCATCACCCCCGGCACCCCCTTCATGGACATACTCGCCTCCAGCCTGCGCTACTGGTGCCAGTACAAACTCAACACCGACCCGGCCTGGGCCAAGCTCAAGGTCATCATATCCGACGCGACTGTGCCTGGCGAGGGCGAGCACAAGATCATGTCGTACGTCAGGTCGCAGCGCGCCTCCCCAGACCACGACCCGAATACGAGGCACGTCATATACGGCCTGGACGCCGATCTCATCATGCTGGGCCTTGCCACACACGAGCCTTACTTCAGGGTCTTGCGCGAAGACGTCTTCTTCCAGGACAGCAAGGCCAGAACCTGCAAGCTGTGCGGCCAGAAAGGCCACGAGGCGCGCAACTGCCGTGGCGAGGCAAAGGAGAAGAACGGCGATTTTGACGAGAAGGACAACGCCTTAACACTGAAGCCGTTTATTTGGCTCCATGTCTCTGTGCTGAGAGAGTACCTTGCCGCCGAGTTGGCTGTTCCCGGGTTACCATTCCGCTTTGACCTGGAGCGTGCCATTGACGACTGGGTATTCATGTGTTGCTTTGTCGGCAACGACTTCCTGCCTCATCTCCCTGCCCTGGAGATTCGAGAGCATGGCATCGACACCTTGACAGCTATCTGGCGCGACAACCTTGCGTTCATGGGTGGGTACGTCACCAAGGATGGCCATATCGACTGGACTCGCGCTCAGTGTATCTTGGACGGACTGGCGAAACAAGAGGACGCCATATTCAAGCGGCGGAAAGAGCAAGAGGATCGACGCGAGGCCAGTTTCAAGCGAAGAAAGCTTCAGCACAACGGGCCTAGCGGCCCCCCCGTTGGGCGTCAGGGCCCCGGCGGACCGCGAATGGGCGGCCATCAAGACCCGTCTCGTGGTCTGCAGCTCCATCCCATTGCCTCGTTCCCCAAGGAGCCGCCGCAGGCTATCACGCATGACATGATCGTCAACCGCAGTACCAAGGACGCTACCATGGCCAACAAGAGCGCCGCAAGCGTCCTCAAGGATCAACTGCGCGGTGTACAACGACCTGCGGAGCCAGACGCCCAGGAACCACCACTGTCGCCGTCGAGTCTCGGAAAACGCAAGGCGTCTGGGCTGGACGACGCTACGAAGCAGCCGAGCAACGGGTCCGGGGCCGCTTCCTCATCTGAGCCCGGCGTTGAGCCAGTCGACACCGTCAGATTATGGGAGGATGGATATGCGGACAGGTACTATCAGCAAAAGTTCCACAAAAGCCCAGAGGACATTGCTTTCCGTCGCGAGGTGGCCCGGGCCTACGCCGAAGGGCTTGCCTGGGTGCTCCTGTACTATTTTCAGGGCTGCCCATCTTGGGACTGGTTTTATCCGTACCACTACGCACCGTTCGCCGCGGACTTCAAGGACCTCGCCAGCCTGGATATCTCTTTCGACCAAGGCTACACATCCAGACCGTTCGAACAGCTCATGAGTGTGCTTCCCGCCGCATCTCGCCATGCCCTGCCAGAGGTGTTTCACAGCCTCATGACCGACAAGGACAGCGAGATCATCGACTTTTACCCAGAGGAGTTTGAGGTCGACCTGAATGGCAAGAAGATGGCTTGGCAAGGCGTCGCTCTGTTACCCTTCATCGACATGAGCCGACTTCTCGCCGCTGTTCAGGGCAAATACCCGCTGCTGAGCCCGGCAGATGCAGCACGGAACGGCGTGGGCCGCGATGTTCTCATTTTCTCGGATGGCAACGAGGGTTTGTATGACGATGTCTTGACCAAGTTTTACTCCAAACGCCAAGCAGCGTCCAAGGCTAAGCTCAATCCGAAAACAAGCGATGGCATGGCAGGCAAAGTCGAGAAGCTCCCGGAATATGTGCCCCACGGAGCACTGCGATATCCTCTGGACAGGCGTGCGATGCCGGATCTGGATTATGATCGCTCTGTCAGGTACAAAGCCCCTCATGCCCGCCCCAGCGAATATGAAGCGAGTGATGCTAACCATGCCGCAGTGTGTACTATGACATCCCACAGTCTGCGCAGACGCACAAGTCCATGCTTCTCCGTGGGGCGGAATTGCCCCCTCCTGTCCTTTCGAGGAGCGACATTGAAGTCATCCAGGGTAAGGCGAGTCGGGCAGGTCGAAGCTATGGAGGCGCCCGCCTCGATCGTGGGAATGGCCCAGGTGGGCGACGGGAACCGATACATTACGGGCCGGGACACGCGAACTCTAGCGGTTACGGACGAGGGCCGCCGGGACCCTTCTCGCATCATCATCCGCTACCCCCTGGGGGAGCTGGTTTTGGCATGGGACTGCCGCCGCCGCCGCCGCCGCCAGCAGCTTATCAGCAAGGCCACCGATCGCAATATAGGGGTAGAGGTTATCCCCCTAGCCAGAGGCCTTATAGATAGAGTAGTCTTATTTTCATACACGCATTTCTCTATTTTCACATAACTCCGCTACTAAGGCCCGTATAGCCACTAAGAGCCCCTATTACGAGCGCTAAAAATAGGCCTGCCGGGGTGCTATAGTATTATTCTAGCGGCCTGCGTACGTAGCCCGCTATAGCAACTAAAGGCATGGCGGGCTGCCGGGCTATAGTAGATAATTAAGGCTATCGCGGGCTGCTAGGCTGCGCGGGCTATAGTAGGCAATTAAGGCTATCGCGGGCTATTAAGCTATAGCGTAATTAAAGCTATCGCGGGCTATTAGGCTACGAGGGCTATAGTAGGCAATTAAGGCTATCGCGGGCTATTAGGCTATAGCGTAATTAAAGTTATTATAGGCTACTAAGCTATAGTATAATTAAACCTATCGCGGGCTATTAAGCTATATAGGATATAATAAGTAATTAAGGCTATTATGAGCTATTAGGCTATAAGCTATAGGCTTAAGATAGTATAGTATTATAGCCTAGTCTTAATAATATAATATATATAAAAATAGAGAAATATATAACGTGCGTTATCAGCGAGTGGACCATATCAGCGAGTGGACCACTTTTCACCACAACGCGGCATTCCACACTTAAACGTTGAATTTCTCCACAACGCGTCATGGTCTCGCATTCGAACGAAAATCGGATTCTTCTTGCTATAGCTGCTCTTGAAAGAGACCCAAAGTTAACCGTTCGAGCC